GATAATCGTTGTAACTGGGAGGGACTGGATTCTGATAATCTCCGAAGCCCTGGGGCTTTTGTCCCCACTGCTGGGGCGGACTAGAAAAGTTCTCGTATCTACCACCTGGAAAAAATGACATAAAGTATTACTAACCGTAGTTATATCCACCATAGCTTCCTTGATTCCCATTCCAATGTGGCTCTTCATAGAAATTACGCGGTCCTACAAAATCAAGCTGGGGTCAAGAGATTGCAACCAGAAGGTAAGGAAAGAGAAAGAATCCCTAACTAATCCCAGCCGTGACCATAAGACCAATCCCATACGTTCGCGATTCACCACCGGAGGTCGCCTCGTGGAGACCTGAAAAAAGAGAGTTGAGTACAAACCGAACTGATGAAATCCTATGTCTAGCGCCCTAACCCTCTAACCAAGACTCTCCGGATAAACTTACTCTTGCCTCCGCCCATACGGCCTCCAAAGGTCTTTGGGCGTGGACCAGTCCTTGCAACAGCCTTCTTGACATCAACTTCTTGGCCCCCAATTTTGTGGGGCTTTGCAGATATGGCGGCGTCCGCCTCGTCAGTCGTTTCATAAGTCACGAACCCGAACCCCCTGGGTTCTCTTGTCTCCTTATAGATCATGACAACAGAATCAGTTATCCGGCCGAACTGAGCAAAATAGTCCCTCAATTGGTCATCCCCGATATCATGAGAAAGGCCACCAATGAAGATCTTTTTTGAAGAGGACCCCTCAGGAGCCGATTCATCCTTGGGAGTAGCAAATTTGGCATCAACCACGCGGCCATCAATGTTATGAGGTCTATTGGAGTGAGCTTTTTGGGCCATATCAGCGTCACTGTAGGTTACAAAGCCAAATCCCCGGGAACGGCCAGAATGATCTCTCATGACGACAGCATCTATTATCTCACCCCATTGTGAATAGAAGTTTCTTAGGGAATAATCATCAGTTGAATAACTAAGTCCGCCGATAAAAAGCTTTCTGTCACGGAGATCGGGATCGTCATAGCGAACCATTATGGTGGTTGGAGCCGATAGCGAAAGTGGGGCGGAGCGCTCTTGCCTGGTCACACAGGGAGTTTAGACCGAACCTAACAAACAATCTGTTAAGAGCTTTATAAACAAATAAAAAAAACTAAAAAAATCAATCTTAATTAATCTTAAAATAATATTTTTTGATAATTGATTTCATCTTGAAACTATACTTGCTGGTTTTCAGAATGATGCCACTAGGTGGATGGCCTCTGATAAAGTTTCCATGCAAACACTCAACCAAAAAATCATAATAGACTTTTAATCTTACAGAGATGATATTTATTATTAGCTCTATAGATGAAAGTGCAGATAATTTGTAAAATAAGTAAAGAATTTAACGCAACTTAGCTTCCTTTTCAAGTAAATGAATAATT